GGACACCTCAACACTTGGTCAGGTGGAACCGGGGATTGAACCACCAACCCCCTAAATTTAGTTTAAAGTAAAGTTTTTATTTTATATATATATATATATATATATATATATATATATATATATATATATATATATATATATACACTCACCTAAAGGATTATTAGGAAGGAACACCACACTAATACTGTGTTTGACCCCCTTTCGCCTTCAGAACTACCTTAATTCTACGTGGCATTGATTCAACAAGGTGCTGAAAGCATTCTTTAGAAATGTTGGCCCATATTGATAGGATAGCATCTTGCAGTTGATGGAGATTTGTGGGATGCACATCCAGGGCACGAAGCTCCCGTTCCACCACATCCCAAAGATGCTCTATTGGGTTGAGATCTGGTGACTGTGGGGGCCATTTTAGTCCAGTGAACTCATTGTCATGTTCAAGAAACCAATTTGAAATGATTCGAGCTTTGTGACATGGTGCATTATCCTGTTGGAAGTAGCCATCAGAGGATGGGTACATGGTGGCCATAAAGGGATGGACATGGTCAGAAACAATGCTCAGGTAGGCCGTGGCATTTAAACGATGCCCAATTGGCACTAAGGGGCCTAAAGTGTGCCAAGAAAACATCCCCCACACCATTACACCACCACCACCAGCCTGCACAGTGGTAACAAGGCATGATGGATCCATGTTCCCATTCTGTTTACACCAAATTCTGACTCTACCATCTGAGTGTCTCAACAGAAATTGAGACTCATCAGACCAGGCAACATTTTTCCAGTCTTCAACTGTCCAATTTTGGTGAGCTCTTGCAAATTGTAGCCTCTTTTTCCTATTTGTAGTGGAGATGAGTGGTACCCGGTGGGGTCTTCTGCTGTTGCAGCCCATCCGCCTCAAGGTTGTGCGTGTTGTGGCTTCACAAATGCTTTGCTGCATACCTCGGTTGTAACGAGTGGTTATTTCAGTCAAAGTTGCTCTTCTATCAGCTTGAATCAGTCGGCCCATTCTCCTCTGACCTCTAGCATCAACAAGGCATTTTCGCCCACAGGACTGCCGCATACTGGATGTTTTTCCCTTTTCACACCATTCTTTGTAAACCCTAAAGATGGTTGTGCGTGAAAATCCCAGTGACTGAGCAGATTGTGAAATACTCAGACCGGCCCGTCTGGCACCAACAACCATGCCACGCTCAAAATTGCTTAAATCACCTTTCTTTCCCATTCTGACATTCAGTTTGGAGTTCAGGAGATTGTCTTGACCAGGACCACACCCCTAAATGCATTGAAGCAACTGCCATGTGATTGGTTGATTAGATAATTGCATTAATGAGAAATTGAACATGTGTTCCTAATAATCCTTTAGGTGAGTGTAATACAGTAAATACTCTGAGGAATCTTATGGACCCCTTGGGAGTTTGCTTATAGGCTCATTTAATTTCTCTCATGGATCATCTCATCTATCAGTCAGAGGGTCTTGCATTCGTCCTGAGAAAACGCTTTATATATCTGCTTCCATTATTTGTTTTCATGCTAAGAGGCTTAGCATGTGGATTAGCTTGAGGTCTCTTGTGTGTGTATTGGGTACTAACTGTTGAGCTCACAGTATAATCATGAGAGAATCCCTGCAATCATCATCTTTCATTTACAAACTGACATCTACACACTCCATTTCCAGTTTACCACAGGAAAAAGTAGCAGCTGGACAGTGTTAGAACAGTTATTTCTTTAAAGAATAGGGTATAGTCAGAGATATCGCAGATGGCTGATGCCTTTGACAATATCAACATGATGATTGGCTCGTTTTCCCATTTATGTATTAAATTATTATCAGGCTAGTATCAAATTAATATTTGGACCTACAATTCATTTGCATTCCCTATAATTTCACAACAACATCACCACATAACCACACTTGCGACACAGACACGCAGACTACAAAACTACATCCCACATCAAAATTTAATTGCACGGTGATCTATTCACAAATTGTCAAGAGTGCTTGTTATAAAACCATTCTTATGTCGTTGTTTGAGCAAAGGCAAAAATGGCATGGTTGTTTGTCAGCAATTTTTGTTTCCATAGCACACCAAAACATTTTAATAATACTAATAGCAATACAAATACAGATTACTATTATTAATAATACAATTATTACTAAAATTAGGCTATAAGCCTAATAACGGTCTTTAGCTTCGAACACAGCACAAAAGCAGCTTTAAACAGACTTTAAAAAAAAACTTGTTTAAAAAGAACTTTTGATTCTTCTAATTTGTTCACTATCATTAATGTGTGGTCCTCAAGAGAAATATTAAGCCAATAAATTAAAGGGTTAGTTCACCCAAAAATAAAAAAATTCTGTCATTAATTAATTACTCACCTTCAAATCTTTCCAAACCTGTAAGACCTTTGTTCATCTTCAGAACACAAGATATTTTTTATGAAATCCGAGAGGTTTCTGACCCCCCCATAGACTGCAATGTAATTGCCACTTTTGAGGCCCAGAAAGGTAGTAAAGGCATTGTTAAAATAGACTAAAGTGGTTCATCCTTATGAAGCGACAAATACTTTTTGTGCGTAAAACCTCCCCAAAAATAATGACTTATTATTCAACCATTTTTTTCTCTTCTGTGTCAGTCCCTGACGCTGTTCACGTTGTAATCACAGTGCAGCGCTTCCGGGTTCTACGTCAAAATGCTGGCTCAGTATTGGCCGGCCTCCTGCGTCAGCATCACACACATGCGTTGTGGTGCTCACGTGAACCGCGTCAGAGGCTGGCACCGGCAAATCTCTCGTGCAAAGTTTGCCAATTTCAGGTGTGATAATCCACAGGCTCGCTTTTTAGGTGAATTATTTCTACGAGATCTTTTTCTTTATCACCAACTCCATCTTTGCTCACCAATGATTCATTCTCATTTCCCGTGAATCCGCAATAAAAAAAAGTAAATGAGTACATGATCATTTGTGGTAACTCATTTATTTATTCGTTTAAGTAAACTGTTGCACAACCCCTTATGACTATGGAGCATACTGCTCAACACTATTAGAGAGCATCATATAACAACCAATATTAATAAAAGGGTTCAAAAGTTGTGTGGCAGCACTACAGTAGTCACACAACAGCTGTTGAAATCCACTAATTCCATCCGTCCTGCTACTCCCTTGTTTCATCCACACATGTCACAGCCATCTGTGAGTCTGCCATCAAAATTATGTCCTGCCTTATGTTTGCTGTATTACAGCCCACATGTGAGCAGCAGGTCAGTGTCTTAACTGCTGCAACCCTGAATCTATTTTAGATGTTTAATCTAAAGCAAAAAAAAAAAAAAAAACGTATACAGGCTATGAAAATAGCCAAGGAAGCTGGCATGGGACGTTAAAACACAAACAAACAAACCAACCAACCAACCTGTGTGACAGTTTGTGACTACCCCCCCCCCCCAGTTGTTGTGGTAAACTCCTCTTTAAAAAGTTGTATCAATAATGAATCCCTTTTAAGCCGTTACAGCCATACACATTCAGACAAGACAGGATGTGCCAACCATTCAAATGTTTGGGGTCAGTAAGATATTTTTTTTCTTTTATTAAAGGAATTGATACTTTTATTCAGCACAGATGCATTAAATTGATCAAAAGTGACAGTAAAGACTTGCATTGTTACAAAAATCTATTCCAAATAAATGCTGTTCTTTATACATTATTTTTATTGGTGACACTTTATTTTAAGGTGTCTTTGTTACAGTGTCATTGAAGGACTAAGTAATATTAATTATCAACATGTACTTACTATAGGGTCAGGGGTTGGCTTAGGGTTTGGTTTAGGGTTAGTTGCATGTCATTATGCATAATTCACTGTTATTTCTAACTTACGTTAGTGTGGCTTCTAAAAAAAACCCTTTTGTAATCAGTAGTGTACTGTTGTAACTTGACTTGAAAAGGTGCCATTCAAGTGGAAAGCATTACACAGCAGCATGTTTGTGGTGATAATCAGAGAAGGCAGTGTGTGGAGTGTTTTAATACAGACAAAAATCAGCTGATTCCCTCAAGGGAATTATTCTAGCTCTCTCCAACACTGGTGCGTGCTTCATGTGGTGTATCTTCTTGTGTGTCTGTGCCGATCCACAGATGAATGAATAGAGATAGCGCTGATGTGTGGTAGGGTGGCAGAGTGCCTCTGGAAGCTGTCCTCCAAAAAGAGCCCTAAATAAATCATTCATCTCCTTATGACTCCACACAGCCTCTGAGGGCCCATAGAGATGGTCACACACAATACTCACCCAAACTCTCACTGAAGGAATGGGGTTTTGTTCTCACACAAACGCCCCCAATCATCACGTTAATGACTCTTACAATGCTCCAAACCTCAAATGCACCCTTGATGGCACACACACACACCCCTCTCATGTGCACAATAAGGCTCAGTAGAAATGAACTTTGAGCCAGCTGAAACTATTGAACCGTTTCTTCATGTAGACTTTGCATAACCTTCAATGTGTTTGTTTATAGAATAACTTGAAAGTGTTGTGGTTTGGATACAAGACATTCATTAATACATGCTCTCTAGAATGAGGTTATGACCTTTTGTATGACATTTAAAGGATTTGTGATAAATTAATGAACCCACACTAACTTCTCCAACTATCCTCTAGTCTACACTTTTATGTTTGAGTGGATGATTAGTAAATGTTTTATGTTATATCTCCACCTGGTGGTTACAACACGCAAACGTATATCTTTCCACTATGGGCTCAAGCATTTAAGCATTATTTTACTGCTTTGGTTAAAATAATAATAATAATAAAAAATATTAATAGTAGTATAGTTTTTTTTATTTGCCCTAGTAATATTTTCACTGGCCCCACAACATTTGTATTTTTTATGTCATACATACAAAAAACATTCTTAGAAATAGTTAAGTTTTATTTGCATTAAAATGTTGCATTTTATTATAGCATTCTGTGGTAAAATTATTCTAATTTTTCATTTCTCTTTGCCTCTCTTTTAGTTTTATCAGATCGTTGTTACGACTGAGAAAACCTCCTGAAGAAACTCACTCTTCTTGTCGATCAGGTATGTGGTTGTCTATGCGTGGGAATATGTGTGTTGTCAGTAGGCAGGTGTTTAGTTGTGAGCTGATAAGTGCAGCATGTGCAAGCTGCATTAATGTGTGAAAGCATATTTACACACAACTGATGTTACAATTTTAATGTTAAAGCACTTTCCGCTAATCTACCTAGCCTATTAAAAAAAAAGTAATCCAGAGGAGTGTGGCTTCTTGGCATTCTCAAAACATTTACTCTACTGTAATGAAATATTGTAATAGATGTATATCAGAATAGACAACTACTTTTAAATATCCATTAATAGAGAACAATGTTTTTCTTACGGAATGTTTAGTTCAAAAATCAACCAGCAGGGGCTAATGTGGCTATGTTAGACAAATCTTGATTGGTTAATAGACCAATTTTCAGTTGGTAAACATGGTGACGTTTTTCTGTGGGCGGAGCTTAGGTGGTGGCAGAACGATCCCTCTGGCTGCTTCACTAACGTAAAGTCTGCAAGTTTTGTTAGCTTGTTTTTAACAATGGCTGGAGAAAATCCGATTTTATCTTAATGTGCAAGGTCGCTCACTGTCCAGGACCACGATTGTTTTTTGCAAAAGTTAATTTAAACGGACGGAACCAGATTGGCCGACCCTTACACTCATTGATTGAGGATCTGACAGTATTAACGTTAACGCTACCTCCGGTTGAGTGGCCTGACTTCTACACCTACCTGATAGAGAAACAGAGGGCACATACATTTTTAGATGCCTATAACTATGTGCTGAATGGTCAAGTACAAGACTTGTGTGGTACGATCCGCAGTTCTGCCGAGCCAGCGCGATGAAGACGACAATGTAAAGAGTGATATTACGGTGCAATTTTAATGAGGTGAATAATTTCTAGAAATAAAAAAATGCAGATAAAGCATATTCATTTTTCATTGATTCTTGCACCCAACAACACAACAAGATGACATTTAATAATAAGAAGAATAATTTAAGATCCTTATTTTGTAGCCGAACCTGTGCTGGTTTGTATTTGCCGGCCGCCTCCAGTTTTCCCTTTGTTCTGCCACCAGCTAGCGCCGTGACGTAACTGTGACGTCGGCTGGAAATTGGTCTATATTGGTTTGGGCTGCGAGCGACGGTGGCAGTTTTTTACCACCGCGGTGGTAATGGACCAACTACCGGCGGTGGTTGGGGGGTTGTTTTGAAATAATAAATTTTTTTTAGTGTTTATTTGAGTAAAAAAGTGTTTATTTGAGCAATTCCGTCAAAGCAGCAACAGACTAAAGCCAGTAAAGCATTGAAATAAATATCAGTAAATAATGGTAGCTTAAATAATATAATAAAGTTAAATCTATTTTTTTTTTTTTTTACTTTCGTTTTATATTTCCACACAAAGACACGTCATATAGCCTACAGCTCTGCGCTTTGAGAGGGATCAGGGATGTGGCATGTTGGACACGAGCAGGAAAGAGACCATCGATCTCTTTCTCAAGGCATTTAGGCTATGTTTGATTTTGCGCTGCTAGAGAAATCTAAAATAAAATCTACCGCGTGTGTGAAACGCGCTTTACAAATAAACTTGACGCACCTTGTCTAATAACAAGCACAAACTGTTAAAAAGAATTTGATGTGCAAGTAAAAATGTAGGTTATCTGTCCTACAGCTTTTTTCTACTTTACCACAGTATAGAATGTGAATATAATAGGCCTAATTAAAATCTAACCAAGGAAGAAACGTTTAATCCCCTTCGAAAATGGGTGAGACGTGAGTGAAGATTTGGGAAAAGAAACAAGAGATTCCATGCAGGGATGAGTCACGATTTTTGAATATTCGATTAGTTGATTTAATTATAGAATATCGAATAGGTTGTGCGAGAATTCTCTAAAATAAAATCTCCATGTTTTCGGTGCTGATGCGGTGGTGACGTGTTCATGTAACAAGAGGGTGACCATGCCAATAACGCACATAACAGCTGTCACAAAGAACCGGCAAAAGTAATGATTATGAATGTGTCAAATATAGCAAGGAGACATTTTAATTGTTTATTTATAAACTAGTGTTTTCTGTGTCAGTGTCGGCTGCAAAGTTTAAGTTGACGATGCTGACTCGTCATCTTCGCAGTTCACGCGCCTATAGAGAGAAATGCACATTTCATACTGATTATCCTACATAAGCAAAGAGTAGGCTAGTCGGTTTCTTTTCGTTTTGAATTGTTTTGTTTTGAAGTAGACAATTCAAGCTTTCTAGGAATTTTATTATAACTCTCTCATTCGTCATGAATCCAAATGTTTCCATGACTGCGATGTAACATTTAATTGCTAACCTATTTATTTTGTAAACAAAGCTTTGTGCTTCACTCGTGTCAATATTCATGTAAAACAGCATTCACATACAAAAAATGTGTTGTCAAGTTTACCAGCACAACCCTACTACATGGTAATGAATTCCTTGCAGAAGACAAGCAAAGACATAAATGTTTAACATGCAAAAAACAGCACTGGTTATACATCCAAGTTTTGAGTTGTGTCAGTAGAGAAACATACTTTTTGCTCTCATAACAGTGTGAGATCTTCCAGCAGGGGATAACTGCCAATCTATGAGTCTTTAGGGGCCGACATGGCAACAGATAAGCTTATAGCCAAGTGACGTCATTTTATTATAGTTTTAGCAGACACGCACTGATCGAGTCAGTCTGCCTTATGATTCGTTACTGGCTCGTGGCAATTTATTGTGTTCCAATGATTCATTGTATGAAGTCAGGGGAGCGTTTTGTAGTTTCCATAAAAACAGGCATGTGTACTTTATGGATAAAGTCCTACCAGGCCGTCTTGACCTTCATGGCAGCAGACTTTTGCTGTATGTGAGCATAGACGAACAGTGAGAAAGGTTGACTTAGAATGTGTGAAAAAAGCTAAATATTTAGGTGTGAATACCAGACAAGATTTAAGATGCATCCTTTTATAGGTGGTACAATACATATCAATGTCTTCTAAATATACATTCCACAAAACGCAGCAGACAAGCAATTAGTCATATATAGTCTATTCAGGTGACAATTCAGCAGTTAAAAATGCAACCAATGAGTCAGCACAGCTGAATTTAGCCCCTACCTGCTCTTATTTCAGTACAGATGGTGCACAACTTTCTGGTAGCCCTTCGTCGTAATTCATATTTCTAATACACAAGCTTTAGAGGCTCATTCAGTCCCACGTACGTGCTGTAATGCTCATGATTTACTGGTCTATAAGACTCTTAATGCACCTCCAGATGATTCAGTGATCTCCTGGGGCCCTTGATTCACCGATTCACATATTCTCTAAGCAGTGATGCTAAAGTCTGTTAGAGACCGGATCAATTACATCTAATATTCACTCCATATTTTTGAATCCATAATGTCCTGATGTTTCTTTTGTTGTCTATGGCAGAGAATGGCTCAACTTTACAGCTGCATGCCAGTAATATAAGTAGCTCAAAGGCAAAATGGCAATTTTTCTTTTGCCATGTGTGTATCCACTTCATCGGTTTGTTCTGTGTTTTTGAGCATCTTAATACTGTCTGTTTTATTGACTAAGAAACTGCTTCAGATGATTCGGTGAGAAAGCGGTCTGAGTGAATAGTGGTCTGAACTGATTCAAAAGAATGATTATTTACGAATGATTGCAATTGCTGGTTCAGCCAACAGAAATAACCCAGAACTCATGGTACGCACAGATTGGGCCCCCATTCACTTCCGGATCAGTGGAGTTTGTAGCTGTACACCTTATTATAATATTCACCGTTTCAATAGTACAGCCTCAAGACATAAACAATATGCATATTAACATGATTTTAGTGTGGGGAAAAAATGCTTACTAATCTTTTCTGTGTAAAGATTTAGCCAATTTTACAACTGTATTCAAATAATACAGAAGTTTTAATGGAAGAATTAATATAAGTGCCTTTATGAAATGATGATCTTTGAGTTTCTGCTTTAAAATATTCCAAAAAGTGGTCCCATTTACTTCTTGAAGTAATCAACATTGTCACAAATGCTGTATACTATGTTAACTTGCATTTAACATAGAATATTCATAGCAAGTTTGCTTCCTTAGTCTTATCACGGACAGACACAGGAGGAACAAAAACTAAGGCTGCATTCAAAAAAGGCATACTCTCGAGTAAGCACTTATTCAAAAGAAGCAACTTATTCAAAATAAGCAATTTAATCGCTATTGCCAAAAAAAATAGATTCTATGTAATGTAATCCATTCGTCATGTTGTCATTATCATGTGACCAACCAGCGTCAGTTGCATTACTTCACTGCCATTCACAAATTCTCTCCTGTGGCTTCATTTGCACACTTCAGAATTTCACTGGAAGAAGTAGGTCATCCGGGTACTATTTGCCTACTCTTTTATCTTAATATGAGTACTGTGAATTCGGACATACTACTCTGAGACCTTCTTTTTTTGCCTACCATATAGTAGGTAAGTATACAATTTCAGATGCAGCCTAAGAGATATAGTACCTGTTTTGTGCTGCTTCCCCTAATGCTCACCTTTCCCTTGACTTGTGTATGAGTGCAAAAGTGTGTTTGTGGTTTACTCATTCTTCCAGAAGTTGCCCGGTGCTAATATTAGTCCAAGTGTTTTATTGACTGGATGGAAGACTACATTTTCTCACTGTATGAAGTTTACAGACACATAAACACGCTTGCGCACATTGGAATAGTGCTTGGTGCGTGTGCTCTTAAAACAGCATGTGCACACCAATGACACGCCATGCGTTTAATAACACGACTGCCACGAGTCAGTCACAGGCAGGAGTTACAGGGAGAGAAGGGTCAGCAAAGAGAGGAAATAGGCAGAGGAGGATAATGCAACAAAGAAGTAGAGGGTGAAATGTGTTAAGCTGACCTCAAGCTTCATGTGTATTGTCTCTGAGGTCTGTCTGATCTTGTGGGCGCTTGTGAAATGTTTAACACCTGATCTCTACAGTGTTCTTGCCGTGTGCAATTTTAGTGTGTTAAATCGTCTTTACCTATGAAATGCAAGTCTCTTTGCTCATCTTTCCCTCTGTCTTCTTTCTGGTTCAAATTGCAGATCAACCTGATGGTTGCACTTTGTAAATTGTAATTGGCTGTAATGTCACCACTAGATGGCAGCAGTGTGCTTTACGATTATCATATAGCGGTGTATGATTGAATCTCCAGCATACCTTTCATTGCAGTCAGGTTTTTTTTTCTTCTTCTGTCCATACAGATTCTTGTTCCACAAACCTGATACTGTGTGATCTATATAGAGGCAGAGAAAGTATGGTTGCCCCCACCTTCCTCTTTCCATCTTTCAGTTTTTCATTTGTTCTTTCAGGTCACTGGTTACAGGTCTTTGGGGTGACATAAAGGTTTCAGGTGCTTTTGGTGCCGCGGCACGGATCCGGACAGGCACAGGCCCCTGGACGGAAAAAGCAGAAATCAGAATTGATTTCAGGAACATTTGGGGCTAATGTATCTCTGTCTTTTTCATTCTGTCCCTTAATTTCTTCTTCTGTTCCTTTGCCTCACATCTTCCACCTTTTGAACTCATTATATATTGCATTGTGGAGTTCAATTTGTAGGCCTTCTCCTGTAATTGTATATGCATGCTCAACTAAGATTTTTGGTATATACTCATATCCATCTCGTTATTGTCTTTTATAGATTTGCCAATGACATAACCAAGGGTTTGCAGACTCTTCCTGGGGTTGAGTCGCCCAACCCCAACGCTGCTGGATTGTTGTGGTAACGTTGTGAAGTTGAAAGGAAGCTGATTTGCCGCTCACCATGCCAGCCCTCTCCACCAGAACTGGCAGTGAGATAGGTACCTCATCTTACACCCTACACCTTATTGAATGGCAATTAGGTCCTCTAGTAGGTTGACCAGCAAGCTTGGCCAAATGTCAACTTCCTGCTTATAAAAATGTTTATTGTTAAAACTAACACACCAACAAACACATGATTCACTGATTGCTAGATATATTAATCATCACGGATGTATGAGATCTTCATGTATGACTCACATGCGTCTGAATTGTACATTCATCGCTTTATTAAAAGTTAGGGGTTGGTACTTTTTTTTTTTTTTTTGTAGAAGTCTCTAATGCTCACCAATGCTGCATTAATTTGATCAAAACAGTCATATTGTGAAATATCATTACAATTTTAATATATTTTAAAATGTAACTTTTTCCTGTGATAACTAAGCTACATTTTCAGTTGTCATTACTCCAGACTTCAGTGTCACTGAATATATTTCCAAAAAAAAATCAATATACTAATTTGGTGCTCAAGAAACATTTCTCATTATTATCAATGTTGTAAACAGTTGTGCTGCTTAATAATATCTTTGTGGACATGTTGATACCTTGTTTATGTTTTATTTGAATAGAATGCATTTATAAAAATAAATAAAAGGGTTTGTTTTTTTTAAATAGCATTTTTTTCCCTGTCACTATTGATTGATGGAATGTATCTATGCACAAATTTACCTTTTTTTTTCTCCCAAATCCCTTACTCTAGGTCTCATTTCCTTTACATTCACTTAGTAATCCCTTCTTTATAATCTATTTGAAAATAATGCCTAGTTGGGGTATAAAAGTCTGATTGACGATCGTAAGATTGCTGGGAGACGTGTGGTATGGTTGGGTTACGTCTGCTTTGTGCAATCCTGGTTTTTAATGAACACTTTGAACGCCCAGTAAGCCACTGTGGATCTGATAGATTAGAATCATTACATACCTCATGTCAAGATGTGTGCGAGCACTCCTGTGCCGTTATGCCACTGCTCTTGATGTGTTATTGCCTGCAATGCTGTTGTTGGACACCTAACATAACCCCCCCCCCCCCCCCCCCCCCCCTCTCTCTCTCTCTCTCTCACACACTCACACACACACACACACACACACACACACTTTAAACGTCCAATTCATAAGGCAGGAAATTGAGATTTAATCACCAAAGTCTGCTATAAAATTGATCAAGGATGACTGCCACTAAATTATTAGCTTGTTTCTGGCTCTTATGATCTTTTTTTCTTTTCTATTTCCTCAATGCAGGTCTATTCTTTCTCTCATTAAACCTCTCCATCACACAGTGTCTGTTCTGTTCTAGTCTCATTCCTCTATATGGACATAAAATGCTGTTCTTTTACTCCATGTATCCTGTTTTTCATGTGGGTGTTTTGCTTCCTGGTGGCATTTGATTTCACTACCCTTGGGTGTCCTCGTACTGACAGACCCATCCACCCACTACCTGTAAAATGTGTATGTGAGAGAAAGTAACTCTGGTGTTGATGTCTCATGATAAATTGCTGTAATTCCTCTTGCATCAACTGCAAACTCAATCATCCTGTGCACTTCAGCTCACGTTCACAAAATCAGAAGTTATTCTCTCAGACTTCCTAAAAGAACAGCATAAAATAGCCTTAAAAAGCATGCCTTCATCACTTACTTTTTCTTAACTGATTTGAGACAGAACTGATTTGTCTAACCCTGTCCTTATTGCACTCCAGATCTATTTATTTATTGTTTAAAAAAACACATTTATTTATTGAAATATTTTATTTTATTGAAATATTTTATTTTATATATATATATATATAATTTTTTTTATAAACAATCAAATATTTATTTATATAAAATGTATTTTATTATTTGTATAATTGATTTTAATTATTTAATTTCCTTTTATTTATCATTTTTTTTTTGTATTTTATTTTTCATAAATATAAACATCAAAAAGATAATATTTTTAAAATGCATTATTATTTTCAGAAACGGTGAAAGGAAAGGTCATTCAGTGAGTGGTTCAGTAAGTTGTTTGAGCTGCACTCCCACCTGCCTTCCTCACAGTCTGTTAGCCTGATCATTTTGAATCTGCCCTTTGATTGGAGCATCGTAGCCCCCTACTAGGTTTTTATGAGCCGTATGAAGTTTTACAGTGTTATTCTGGGCAGGCCTGCAGGTCCAATTAATTTAACTCTCCCCAAGGCGTCACTAAAAAGATAAGAGCGCCAGGTAGGCTTGAGAGAGACAAAAGGGGACATGTGGGAAATTTTTAGGACAGAAGTTCTTTAGCAGATAAACCTCCTCTAATGAAGATGAATGCATGTGTGTGTGTGACAGGTTTTATGCTTGAAACTATCTGTGCAGGTATTCTACTTGAAACTGGAATTGTTTTTTGATTAGTGTGTGTATGTGGAAATAATATTTCCATCAGTCCTGTTCAGAAACAAGTGTATGGTGTAATGATGCCGTTGTCCGTAACGAGATCCATATTGAGCTCCATATTGTTTATCGTTCAGGTACTGAGTCTCTCTTATGGCTTCAGCAGAGCACCAACTGAATATGGCTGCAATGAGGGATATGACAGGAATGGCCATATTAAATTTCTTCTCGGCTAACAGTAAATTTTTCCATTCTGATGTCAAGAATGCAGAGCATCTGGGAGCAGAGGACAGAACGAAAGCGAGGAAGGGAGGGAGAGAGGAACATTAGTAGCGGCTGCAGCAAGCACTTTGGGAGCACTTTATCGATTTCCAGCCATTTATCCTCCTCTTTTCCATCTCTCCTCTTTTTCTCTCTCTCTACTGTCACAGGGATGCAGAACTGTAACACAAGGATTTGTTGCCACTGGAATAGCTCCCTTTTTCCAATTACATCAGAATGAAAATTTCCACTTCATTTTACCAAATGCAAGAGAAAGGAGAGGTAGTAAAGCGGAGGGACAAGGAATTTCATTTATTTATTTGTTTTTTTTATGTCCCCATTTTCAGGAGATAGAGATATCTATCGCTGTCAACAAGCAGAACGCATTCAGTTCCGAATATCTGGTGCGGTTTCTGAAGTGTAAAAAGGGTCTGAACATCTTTATACACAAGGTCTAAAAGCTACAAACAAGCAATCTACATTTACTTTATTGCATATCCATCACAATACTAGAGTGTTGCTAATTGGTTGATAGGGTGCTCTGGGTGGTGACTTACTAACCCATGTCAAAAGAGCCAACCACTTTGTCTCTGATATTCTGGTCACGCATGAATCTGATCTTTCAGTGTAGTAGCTAGAGTTTCAAAAACCCAACTTAAAATTCAAGCTTGTCCTTTTTCCTTTTGCCTTTCCACCCATTTTGGGGTATAGGCCGTCAACCAGGGCTCAGCAGGCATCTCCATCTTGGGCTTTCCTCTCGCCAGAGCCTGAGGTCTTGTCAGATGTAGTCCTCTGTTATTTTTCTGGTGTGATTGAGCTCTGATATAGGCATCAAATGTGTACTGTCACATGGAATCAAAGTGTGATTGGACTGAATCTTTTCTACAGGTGTTGAAATAGCTGCTTCAGGATCACATTTCCTCCTGTTCTGTCTAATCTCAGTAAAATAACAGAGATTCTGGGCTCCAGAGATGCTCATTTGAGGGATGGTTTGACCTTGGCTACTGTACCTCTAGATCAGAATGAAAAAAGCCATCTTTTTTGGTGATATTTTCCTCTTATGTGTGTCCACATGTTGACAAGCACTTCATGGCTCCAGCATGGGGAAAAAAACACCAGGGGGCTGATGTATAAATGTTGCATATGTACGTAATTTTCCATGCACACATTGAGATTTTTTAAAAAAAAATAAAAAATCTTATCGTAAATGTGTGCGTACCATAAGGGTACTCAAACAATGATTTAAACTATTTTACATCTGATATACACATTTAGATAAAATATGCCACTCTCATTAATGGAGTTAAGTACTGAAATTTGTGTGCTGTTGGTGTCGTGCACAGACAGACAGTAGTCTAATGATAACCATTTTCATTGTCTTCCCAATATGAAAAATACCAGTGTATTTGAAGGATAGAATTTGAAGGAAACTGTAAGATATGCACGGTTTATTTTTAAAATGTTTTGTCAGTGATGACAATTATTTACACTGCAAAAAATAAGTCATATCTGTTTCCATTTAAAAATATATAAACATCCTAAAATATATTTTTACTTTAAAGGCAAAATTGCATAAATTTGATTTGCTTAAAGGCTAACTAAACCCTAAAACAACTTTTTATTAGTTAATGATCTGTAAGACTGGGGCTTTATTAATGCTGTTCATTGATTCAAGTAATTTTTTTGACATTTGGGTATAAAGTGTTTTAATTCTACTATATATGGTGTAAAAACGTCTGAGTGCTGCCCTCTTCAGGTTGAACGGTGGCTACTGCAGTTGAATTTTCCTATTGGAAGTTGTGGTGCCCTGTGATGTAAGCAGGCACCAGCTAACCACGCCCTTGCCTACAGAGAGACCTGTCTCAGGTGCACGCCCCCCCATTCAAATATTGCCAGTGGGTGGAGTCAGGCTCTGACCAGGGGTTTAGGTACCCTTTAAAGCAATTAAAAAATGCTATTTGGCCAGTGGAAAAAAATGAGAATAACTCTTCTCTGAAAACTTTCTCTGAAATGTATTTTGATTTATTTATTCTAAAACAAGACAAGCATCCTGAATGACTTTTAGCAATGTAATGTGATGGCACATCTCATATTTTCCTAATGTTGTTTTACTGTAAAACATTGGTATCACGTGGATGGGAATATGCATGGAAAAAATATGCAGATGACATTAAACTCATATGGTCATTCTGGGAGGAGATGCATGTACGCACAATCTTCTGCTGACTAAGTTTTCTAAAGGGAATTTTGCGCAGGTTCTGGCGTACGCGTGGTTTTATAAATCTGAAAACTTTTGTGCGTATGCTAAATCTAGCTTTTGTGTGTACGCACACTTTTGGGATGAAATCTATGGAAAGTTTTATACGCGAGGCCCCAGGAGCTTAAAATGAAAAATTTTAAACCAAGTGAATTTTTTGTGTAAAATTACAGTCACTCAATATGTTTCTGTTTTAAATAAATGCTGTTCCTTTGAACTTTCTATTCATCAAAGAATCCTGAAAAATTGCATTATGGTTTCCAGAAAAATAATAAGCAGCACAACTGTTTTGTGTCTTGAGCACCAAATCAGCATGATTTCTGAAGGATTATGTGACACTCAAGACTGGAGAAATGACTGCTGAAAATTCAGCTTTGCCATCACAGGAATAAATAAAATATATATTTATTTTAAATTTTAATAATATTTCACAATATTTATTTACTGTATTTGATCAATCACATGTACCTTGGTGAGCATAAAATAACTATTACATACCTCACACTTTTCTGAATGCCTCTTTACATGGTCTTGTACTGTATATTGCCACATAAACGTCCATAAACGGGTATTTTAATTTAAAGTTACTGCTACAAATTCACATTTGCAACCATTTAAGTTGCAGAATGGATTACGAATTGTTTATTGCTTAAAGCAATTAGTAGGATGACGCAGTGTATATATGCACTACTGATGTATAGGACTAGACACCATTTAGTGTGTGGCTGTGTGTGTATAATTGGAGTAGATGGTCCAGAACATGCTAGTAGGTCTGGGAAATCCTGGGCAAGAGCTCTGATGTGGTGTTGTGGTTAAAGAGGCTGGAGCTGAGAACACTGCGATGAAACCCTACAATGGACTCAGAATGCCAAAAGAGCATGCATGTTTGTGTGTTTCATGCATATCTGCTGTTTAGACACAGATCAAAGATCACTACATCTCAGACCTTTGTGTAGCCACTAGCCAGATAATCTCTCCCCCCTCTACTATAATTTGTCAGCTCCGGAGGGCCTCTCTTTCTCTCTGTGGATGTAGTTTTTCTGTTTTAGGAGGTAAATCAAAGGAAAAATGAATGAAAGTATGCAGAGTGCAGCTGTTCTTGTTTTCATATTTCCATTCACTCGCTCAGTTTTCTCACAGACAGGCATGAACCATGTTCTCAGAGTATCACCTGAAATACTGACCTCTAAGGTGGTTATATGTATGAGTGTGTATTTGCATGACATTTATATTGCTTCACAGAGTCAGTCTCTCAGCACTTGAAGGAGAGAAGTACGGCCCAGTGTTCATTTTCTGCTGCACAGCTCACTGAGACGAGTGTGTGTGAATCTTTTTGCACTATTGACTCTTGAACCCCTCCAAACAAGACATTCAAAGAAAGCCATTTTACTGTTCCTTTTCGAAATGTGGCCTGTTGTAAATCTTTCTGGTCTGGTTTTCTGCCAGTTGTCCTCTTCTTGGCTAGTGTGAGGTCAACAGGAGCCAGACAGGGAGCCAACGGAGCATATTTCCCATGCGGACAGCCTCTATTGTGGTGTGTGTTTGTGTGTTTGTATGCGCTGTCCTTGTTTCTTTTTTCAGGCCCTTATGTGAGTGGCTAAGAATATCTGTGTTGTTCCAGAAAACCATCATGTCTGCATCACTTAAGCGTTTGTGCGTGTCTGTGTGTATTGTGTTAACTCCAGACAGTTTGGATGACCTTGCTGCCTTCCTAACAGCCTGTGTAATTAAAGCTGCTCTCCATGCCCTGTGCTGCTGACCCATAATGCTGTGAATTTGAGAAGCAGGTCCTTCCGGCCTCTGCTCCGCCCTGTTGTATTCCAGCACTGCCATTGATGTCTGAGGAACGCTGTTATTTTCTGGAGGCCGCTGGGAAGTGTAGGCGTGTGAAAAGGAAACACTGCTTGGCACAGCATTCTTTCACATCCCGTCCGGTATATTTTGGCCTGGCGGCCAATAATGTTCAGTTTACGCAGATTCTTTTATAGGCTGCTGGGACATAAGGTTAGATGTTGACTTTTAAACTCTCCCATTTTTTTTTTTAGATTAAAGGTACGACATCACGGTGTGACCGTTACACTGGTTAAAATAGCTGATTTCACTGGATTTAAACATTGTTGGAAACATTTGGGATAATGCAAGTACATGTCAACAAAATATATAACTGTTCTAGTGGTTTTTGGATATTTTAATTCTCATGTCTCTTTATGCTCATGCCATTCCAAACCTGTATGACTTTCTTTCTTGTTTGCAACATAAAATAATTTGAGAAATTGCTTTAAGTGTTTATTTGTCCTTTCAATGGAAGTATGTGATCACAAAAACGGTTTGTTTACCAACATTCTTCAAAATATATTTTGTGTTCCACAGAAGAAAAAGTCAGTCATACAGGTTTGGAATGACATGCAGGTGAGTAAATGATGAGAATTTTCATTTTTGGGTCCGTTACTTTCTTAATAACAGTAGTCGTCATATCTACCTTCCTCTGCAGTATTTGCTTGTGCATAAGCATCTTATAAAGACCTGGGTGGTGTTTATGCTCGTTTAAACATCACAGGCATCCTAATGAAACTTTAGGGATTTGATTCACAGTTCCAGTTGTGATTCCTAGAAAAACAGGAAATATCCAGACAAAGGGAGGAAGTAAGGTGCAGCCCAACTTTTTTTTTTTTTACCCTCAGTTTGACCCATTGAGCATGCTAAATTAAACCATAATGTTTTCACTTTTTGGTTGGTGCACTGATGTTTGAACACTATACGTCACACCATCTTAGAGGTTATCACTGGAGATTGAGAATGATCTTCATAACTGATCTGACATGCTTCAGGTGACTGTTAATGGAGATTTTATGGGACTTGTTTGCATCCGTCTGTATTTTCTCTTTGGGTATTGGGAGTGTGAGTGTGTGTGTGTCTAAGTGTGTAATGTGTTTCCTGTATTTCCTCTGCAGGTCTGTATGAGCTGTTGTCTGTATTGCCGTCTCAGCTGCAACCTCATGTTGAGAGCGCAGATGACCGCTCCTTTCTACACGCTATGTTTGGGGAGAGGAGTCTATATTCATTGGTCAAGGTGAGTGTGTGTGTGTGTGAGAAATGTTAAGACATAAACTACTAAGTTGTGTCATAACACACTAGGTCACTAAATCTCTCTGTCATCGCATCATTGTAATTTGTTGTTTAAGGGTAGTTTTGTTTTTTGTTTAGTTGGTTGTATAAGTGGTGATCTAAAGGCACATCCAGAAAAAGTAAAATCGTGATTGTTATTGAATGTGAACGGTTTCAGACTTCAAATAGGGGTGTAGGCTGTTGTTATTGCTAAATCTAAATCTGTGGTTAAGGCCAGTTTTAATTGTTTTGTCATTTTTAATTTCATCTTTCCCTTATTTACTCTCCGGCTTGTCTTTTTGAGTGTGGATTTACACAAGTTTTCTCATGCTACTTTTGGGAAGTCAGTTTAATCAGGTTGTGCTGTGCCTGTGCTTATCGGCATTCACTTGTTTTACCTGCAGTTCCTTTAATTTGGCCATTTTTCTCCCCCTTTGACCATTTTTTTCATGGTCAATCACTACTGTCACTAATGCTCAGACACATGTAATCATTGTTAATACATAGTTCACTGGCCGTATTGGTCCCATTGTACATGCTGTTGGCTGAGCTGGCCTGTGCTCCAGAAGTCCTCTATATAACAGTCTACCCGCAGAGGCAGAAGAAGTCTGACAGACAGCGGACCACAGTCTAAGCCAAAGACCTCTGCTCTCTTTTCTCCATGCAATTAAAGCAGGGTTTCACACATGTCCCACTGCACTCTGTTCCTCTGCCAAGGTGCCACTCCAGAGAGCCTTACAGGAAATCTGACACAACCTGTAATTTCCACCTAGTTTAAGTTTGTCTCTGTGTGTGTGTCTATATAAGACAAATGGGAAAATGAAAGGAAGAGAAGGATAATTTGGAAACTTTCCTAGTTTAGAATTTATAAACTCTTCTAGTGAGAAGTAAATAGTTCGGTAACACTTTACTTAAAGCCTTTATGTATAATGTATTTTAATGCATTAATTATGCCTTGTAATGCACCTTATAATGCATTGTATTGTATCATGAATAATCGTAACCGGAGTTATGATATAATACATTGTTACAACTTTATAAAGTGCAATACTTCAAAACATGCAAACAACCAATTTTAGATGTAACAAGGAATGTACAAATATTATAATGCATTTTAACTTTGGTTACAATACAATTGAAATAATATGTATTGTGAAAAGCGCTATACAAATAAATTTGGATTGAATTGAATTGAACAATTATTTATGAAATGATTACAATATGCATGTGTAGCAGATGTAAACGTTCAGATCAAGGGAAGGAAGAGGACAGGGTCGGCTTGAGGAGACTGTGGGTATTTATTCAAACTCAAAACTCTTTTCACATAAACAAAAGACGCGCACCGTGCGCTGAACAAAACAGACTCAGTTCGCTGCAATCAGCTGTCATTCGACGTCACTCGCTGTCGTCGATCTCCACTCTTTCTCTCCCGTCTCAGTCCAGTTCACCCACAAGTCTCCTCCGGTCTCTCTCAGCCATTCTCTCGTTTCCTTGTGACTTTTATCCGTCTCCCCACGCCAATTACTGAAATAAGACACAGGTGTTTGTCATTCACACTTAACCCACTCACGCCGCACCTGTCTCCCGATCCTCTCTCCCATTACAGACTTCGCTTAACCACGCCCCCCTTGCCACAGCATGATAAATACCTTTACTTAAAGCCTTTATGTATAATGCATTATAAGCCCAATTGTTCTTTCCTATGGACTCTATCCTATAAAGTTTGATTGGATATTTTTTTGTATGGCTGCAATTACACTGTAATCCAATATTTTAAATAATTTTTGATTGATGAAGATTGAATTTTGTCGTCCCCCCCCTCCCCTCCCCCACACACACACACACACACCTAATATTTGGCTTGTAAGCTTAACACAGCTGTGAGATCAGCTGCTAATGCCTATGGTTTTCACCTCTATGCATTTCTGTATAGTGTTATTACAAGACGAAACCAGATTCAGCACATACTCCTGTATTCAGCCTTCCAGGGGCTGCACGCACCTGTGGGAGCTGGGGAAAAGTGACCTCCTCTGAGGAGCCTGACGTTTAGGTCTGCCATCTCATTAGCTGTGTCAAGCTCAAATGGTTACTCTTACTTGCTTTTCCCCGGACAGTGTGCTTGACGTGCCCAATCTGGACTCGTTTTAGGGATTTCCACCATGGAAAAAAGTTGCAAAGTTCAGCTCTAAGTGACCAGGAAGTGGGATAGTGGGTCTCATTCACTAACAATTGTGTGTATTATTTTGTGTTTTAGGGCTGTCTCGATATTCGTAATATTGTAATACCACGATGCTGACAAGCAACTACAATGTTCATCTTTTTTTCGTAAGGCTATGCCCTTCTTGTTTTACACTTCATGGATGTATATCCCCCACACATTCAATTCTTTTACTTCAATGAAAGGTTCGATTTTTGCAAATTTTTTGAATGAAAGATCAAAAGGATAAACAATGCAGATTTATTTTTTACAGCCATTTTTGATCATATTTACCAGGGGTGCCAGTCATTCTGACCACAACTGTGTGTATATATTATATATATATTATATTAGTCAACAAAGGCCAGCACTCAGGTCAGTAGAAACATGGGCCAGTTCTATTGGCGTAAAGGAGGGTACCTGACTCTGTGGCGAATGGCCACTAATTTTTGTTCGCACACGTACACTCATTTCCCTCTGTTTACTACTGTAGATCTGTGGACATTCATCCACCGATTGCATTTGCATTCCATAACACACAGGTTTCTTAAGCATGCAACATTCATACACCTTTAAAACAGAGTTGTTTGTCGTTTTCGGGCAAGTGATCATGCCGCAGTATATTGTGGGTACATGTGTATATATATTAATTATTGTTTGTTTTTCCTTGTTTGGTTTATTTTGGAAGCAGTTTGCTTTTGCTATCTTTTTTTTCAGTTGAAACCTTGACACAACCAGTTATAAAATCACTTCCATTCTCACCATATTAAAGCTTTCCATATGCAGTCAGGAAGTTCAAATCTCTCATTTATCTACTTATCAGTTTATAACACAGATGGAGACGTCTGCCCTACTGTTGAATGTGAGATGCTGAAGATGTATTTGTTGGAGTCCCCGCCGCTGGCAGTTACGGCTATACATTTTCCTACTTAATACCGAGCCACCATATTAATGTTTGTGAAGTCTCTTAAAGAGCAGCTGGTGTCTGATTCTGATTCTTTATAATCTGTATTCTGCATCCAAAATAAATTTCCAGAGTAATACAAAACTTCTGCATTCAGTGTCTGGACTCTGCATGCTCCAGAGTCAACAAATGCATATCTCAGTGCACACATACGCTTGAGTGAGAGTGTGTATTTTTATGTGCGTGCACATGTGCGTTTGTCAGGATAACTGAATGTGCTTGGGATGGAATGCAGACATATATTATGCAGTATATGTTTAATCCATAAAGCCACTGACGTATTACATTATACGCAATTAGAGCATAGTGCTAGGTTACGGACACAAACGGGGGCAAGACCTCATCTGAGGAAAAGTAAAGTAGGTCTCATACAAGCCCATCTGAGATCATATTCTGCCTTTACATGACGGACACCTTTTTTTTCAACATCTTTCATAAGGAAAGTATGGGCTCTGTCTGCTATTTTTGGATGATCTCACCGTGTTCACAATGCTGTAGCTGCCATAAATCTGAATTGGCGTATTGCAAGTGCCACACATGCAGTAAATCGTCATTTCTTTGAGTTGTGAAAATGGATGTTAGAAATGAGGAATAAACTGCAAAGTTTGTTGCCCTTAATTTCTGGAACGGATATACTGGTTTAAATGTTAATGTTATTGAAGTTTAAGTTCTGATATGCACCTTTTACCCAGAACATTAACCAGTGTATCTTCTGCACTCTGCTTGGTGTAGTCTAGTCAGAAAAAAAAAAGTCTTCATAATGAGGAGTTAAATAGGTGTGTGTCACACCCCGTCTTGTACGGTGGGGTTTGTGTAAACATCCATCTCTGACAGGCATGTCACAGTCAAGCCCGTCTGTCTGCAGGCCTTTCCTGTCTTTGCTCTCTGAAGGTCTGTGATCAGTTTGAGCGTGAGGTGATGAGGTGCAGTAGGGGCACTGGTGCTGTTCTGGGACGCGCAGGCTTTGGACTGTCAGGGGTTACTCGATCCAGCTGCTCTGGTCACTGAGAGACAAGCGGAAGAGAAGAGGTCAATATCATTTCAACATTATGGGTGTTCGCAGAAGCCCAGAGCAGAAATACTACACCATTAATGCATACCATTGCCAGACAATTCACTGTCTCTCAGTCCTATATGCCTGCATGGACTCTGTGTCGGTTTCCTTTAAATGTGTGCTGCCTTCTATGTTTTCCTTCATTCCTGTTCATTTTATATATTCAAATGTCTATTTTAGGGTCTCTTCCAAAACTTAGTGAGACACACCTGTGTATGCAGGTGGCATGCTCAATTAAAGGTAGACATCTTAATTATGCTGCTTTCTATGAGGCCTTATTTTGGGCTTCATGTGCAGAGAAAGCAATACCAGATTGCACTGCAACAAGTTCAAGGAAAAAACACAATGGCAGACAAAATGTTAATTATTGCAAGGTAAATAGAAAATTAAATTAAAAATATTTTTTTTTAATTAACGTCGTAAAAAACACTAAATTTAGTGTTCCCTATATACAGTACCGTTTAAACCTTTGGGGTCAGTAAGATTCATTTATTATTATTATTATTATTATTATATTTTATTATTGTATGATATTTAATAAATTTTAAATGAATACTTTTCAAGAAGGATGTATTAAATTAGGATGTATTAAATTGCTTAGTGACTGTAAAGATGCTTTAGTTTAAGCATTATACTGTAAAATTATACTGTTATATCTGTAAAAACTAATTTAATTAAAATAAATGCTTTTCTTTTAAACTGGGAAAAAACGTATCATGGTTTCCACAAAAATATTAAGCAGCACAACAGGTTTCAACTTCGATAATATTAAAAAATGCTACTTGAGAACCAAATCAGCATATCAAAATGATTTCTGATGAATCATGTGACTAGAGTAATGGGCTATTACTAATTATACTGCTGTAAATTCAGCTTTGCCATCAAGGGCATTCTTACCCTCAAAGGTATATTAGTTGTTCCAAATTGGTCACACATAATGCCTACGTAGGTAGTACCCAGCAAGACAGCTCGAAACGTAGCCTTTATCGGATGCTTTCTATACTCCTCCCTCCGTTGTCATATTCCTTGAATTCCACATCAAGTTTCCTCTCCTCCGTATCTGTCAGCATTCAGTGTAATTGTGTTTAAAGCTGTGTTTGTTTGGCTGCAGAATGCTCTTGGAGGACCCAGAGGCCAGACTGGCTGCCGTTTCTCTCACCTGCTTATGTTCTCCGCTCGTGTTTTGTCAAGGGCCTATGGGTATTTAACGTCTGGTCCAAGAGGATTTAGACAGCGCTCCATTGTAACGTGTGATCTGAACCCTGACAGCAAAACATAGTGTGTTTATCGAAGCATTGCTTTGTTTATTCATATGCTTTATTACTAAAGTGTAAGTCTGAGATGAGTTAAAAACTGCATAATTTTATGATGACTAGTCAAAGGGGGGGGTTCACATAAGACACATTCTTTGTCCAGAAAGAGACAGCACGCTACTTGATGCGTTTTTAAAAGTTGAACTATTTTAAACTTGACACACCATCTTCTGGCCTCTGGCAACCAGAGTTCGATTCCTTGCTCGAGGTCCTTAGCTGATCTCGATCCTCTCTCCGCCCCAAGCATTCTCGTCTCATCTGTAAACTGGGGGGTGTGATCAGTATTAGTGATCCATATTGGTCGATACTGCTTCCAGAGATCGGTGATCTGCCCCAAAAATCCTGATCGGAGCACCCTTAGGAGAAATTAACATGCACAATTAAATATCCGATATCTACCGATAATTTTTTTTTTTTAAATCACTCTACAAGGGTAGAAAGACGACTTGGTTGTTTCTGACAGATTGGTAATCTCTTTTAAAAGTTGTCTCAATTCATTCTTTTTAAAGAAAAGTCAATAAAAATAATGAAGCAAAAACAAAAGCTAGGAGGGTAAAAACTATATAGACCCCTTTTGCGCCACAATTACATCACGGCGCTAGCTGGAGGCAAAACAAACGGACAACTGGAGGCGGCAATACAAACCAGCACAGATTCGGCTACATAATAAGGAGCTTAAATTATTATTAGTATTATTAAATGTCATCTTGTTGTGTTGTTGGGTGCAAGAATCAATGAAAAAGGAATATGCTGTATCTGGGATTTTTATTTCTAGAAAATATTCACATCATTAAAATTGCACCGCAATATCACTCTTTACATTGTCGTCTTCTTTGCACTGGCTAGGCAGAACTGCGGATCGTACCGCACAAGTCTTGTACATGACCATTCAGCACATAGTTATAGGCATCTAAAGATTTATATGCCCTCAGTTTCTCTTTACGCTCGGTTTCTCTATCGGATAGGTGTAGAAGTCAGGCCCCTCAACCGAGGTAACGTTAACGTTAATCCTGTCAGATCGTCCATCCATTGAGTGAGCGTGTACGGGGTCAGCCATTCTGGTTCCGTCCGTTAAAATTAACTTTTGCAAATAACAATCGCGGTCCTGGACACTGAGTGACCTTACACATTAAGATAAAATCGAATTTTCTCCAGTCATTGTTAAAAAACAAGCTAACAAAACTTGCAAACTAACGTTAGGGAAGCGGCCAGAGGGATCGTTCTGCCTCCACCTAAGCTCCGCCCACAAAAAAACGTCACCATGTTTACTAACTGAAAAGGGGTCTATATAAACAAGTCTACCTCACTAATCGACCAATTCACACTGTTCTCTGTCCTACTGTGCAATTTTAGAGTCAGAAAAATGAAGCAATTGTTTATCGGTCTGCAAGGCCTCTGTGATGTAGTGGAATAGTGGTGCACTAATGCTTGATGGTATTACTTTGATTCATTGCTCTCATTTCCTGCTCTTTCTTTTCTGTGGAACGTGAGCTATGATCAGTGTAAGGGCTCTGTAATGGATTTTAAATGTCTGCTCTCTGGCGCTCCTGTGTGGACAGGCAGGTATCTGGAGAACGGCCCGAGCTGTAAATAAAGGCATTGAGTCTCACTCAGCCTCTGATGGAATCTAAACTGTACGGAGTAAAACCGCTCCGCCGCGACTCAGAAGGCCTAAACAGATGTTGCTCCCTGGAATGCGCAGAGACCGGACAGTTACGTTCCATCCTTCACTGGATCCCACATTCCATTCCTCCTCCACCGAGTGTGTATGAGTCTATGTGTGTGTCTGAGTGGATAAGAAATATTTATGTCTCTTTTCTTTGCCTGCAAGTGTGTTTGCCGGTGTGCGAGAGATTCCACTTCGACAACGCTGCTGTAGTAACAGACGGTGACCCTGCTTGGAGTTCAGTACATTTTGAGTGTTGCAAACGGAGTGACTGAGAAAGCACAGTTTGTTCGTCACGGTCCCTGACTACGGTTCTTACACGGCCAAGCTTCACCACATCACAAACGCCTCTGGAGAAGCAGATCCAGAAAAATTGTATCTTTGGTCTTATCTGCCCTGGTCGATCCAGGCTCATAGCGTTCCCTTCCCTCTCTGCTTCACCATGACAACTAGCCCGGTGGCGCAGTCATTTGTCTTCTCTTGATAAATATTTAGTCCCCTTGGTAGCGGGAGAATTTCTCATTCACTACTGTGTGCCGTTACATAATATTTCACAGGACAAATTCCAGTCTAAACGAGCTGGTTGCTTCTGGATGGCTCCCTACCATGATGTTGTTCTGGTAACACAATTTCAACAAGAATGAAATGGTTGAACAGATATTTCAACACACAGCTGTTAAAAACGTCAGAAGACAGGGCTTTTTTTGTTTCGAGAATACTTCATTTTTAACACACATTGTACTTTTAATTTGCATGTTAATCATCAACATGAATTCCTGTTTAAAGTCCATTTTACATACAAAATCTGTCTGTCTTTGTCTGCCGCTTATTTGTACTGCATGCATACTTATTTTCATCTTGTTTTTAAAGAGTAAATAAGTTAAGTGATGAACAAAGTCAGTTTATTAAAACTGCTAAATATATATTTTTAGCAAGTTTCCATTTTCATGCTGTACATTTATAGTGTTGTGCTGCCTAAGTTTACTTGTTTTACTTTATTTTAGTTTTTGGTGTTTTATTTTAATTTTTTTAGGCAAAATTATTTATTTTGGTTTTCGGCCATAACATGACAATAATTATTGGTGTATCAGTATCGGTCTAGCTGTGTAGCTTAAGTGATGTGGAAAGGAAAGTCATTCAAAGGAAAACCATAACAAAGGAAAGGAAAGTTGTCAGAATTTGTTTAAAGATTACATAAAAAATTACATTGGTTGTTTTCCGAAGAGAAATAGTTCTCAATAAGACCAGGAACATTAGGAAAGTAAACGGGGTCAGTTTAGATTCCACATTGACTTTTAAGTGATCGCTCTGTTTCCGGTTTCTCTTCCTCTGCCTATTAGATCCATGAGAAGTTACAGTGTTATGAAGACCGTGCACCGACTCCAGTACTGGACAGCGCCGGGTCACTGGCTCAAAACGTGAGTGAACCACATGCACACACTTCCTGTTAAAAGCCCAAACACTTTTATGCTCATAAACTTTACGCACTTCTGCATGGGTAAACACACGCGCACACATGCACAATGTGTGCCTGTGAAAACACATACACAGACGTCTCCCAGCATGTCTAGCTTAAAACTGACTCCAGGAGGAACTTGTCATTAAAGAAAAGAGAAAATATGGCTGGATGTCTGGGGCAGAGAACACAAGTAGATGGGCTGCAGATGAGGGTGCGAGATGAGGCGTGGAGCATTGTGTGTGTGTCTGTATAAGACATTAGTCATCAGTATTATAAAACACTCAACATTTCAACTCTCAACGGCTTGCATAATGTAAACTGACTACTATATCAACATGGCCACATAGACACACACACACACACACACACACACACAAACCTATGTAAACTTGGAAGAGTTTACTTTGGATGTGATCACAGAGAGGAAAGACAGAAGGAAAAAACACAAAGGCGATTCAGAGAAGAGCACCTCAGGTCAGCACTGACTTTAGATGGACAAAAATACTTTGGATATCCAGACTGTTCAGAAGTGCATTTTTGCATTAAAAGATGCCACATCTGTTCAAACAAAGTGTTGTTTTGTGCACCAATCTGCATCTAAGAAGAGCTAATCAATCTGTTTCCTGCTCACTCATGTCTCAGTGGGCGGCGGTAACAAGTCCTCTCGTGTTTCCATAAATCTTGACTTCCGTTACGGAACTTTCTCAACCTGCAGCTCAGATCCGCCCCTCAGATTTACACTTTCCTTCGGTGTCCCTAAAGGTCCCACACAGGGATAACCCGATATCTGCCTGTGTGTGTGCGGATACGGTCCATCAAAGGGTCGAACAGCCAAAGCAACCAAATTACTCAGAGCCCCCCCCCCGTGTTTTTTTCAGACGTATCATTTTCATCCGTTGCTGTGAGGAATATACGGCATGCTGCTGTTTTGAACGCTGTAGTGGGTTTGCCGCCACAGCTCATTCGAGTGTTAAATTTCACTAATGGAGCTTTAATTTATAGTGTAGCATAAAATGCCATTTTAACCTCCGCCTGGCCTACGATGCTGTCTAGCACTGACACAGCAGGCAAGCTCCTATCATGCACACACACATTTCTATCAAAAGATTTAGCAGAGATGAAATGCACACTATTCTTAACGGCAGTATATCCTATGAAGTTAAGTAGCAGGTGTGCAGTTCTTGTTCTGGCCACAGTTAGGCAGTAAAGAGTGTTACTTCCACAAGCAGTTCTCAGTCTGGATAAAAACAATTGCCAGATTACAGTCCTCATTGTGTCCCGGGTGTCTTCCATTAAACTGTGGAAAAATGGAGCGCTCCAGAGCCTGCTGGATGATACTCCACTCCACTCATTCCTCTTAGATGCAGAAGTCTGTTCTGGAGACGTCAGTCAGACAAATGCATAACAACTATGTCAGATTACACCAGAGCAGCAAAACGATATCCCTTATTGATTAATAGAAACCGCTTGTAGTTATTTTAGATGATCATTCTATTGCCAGGCATAATACAGATGTCATAAGCCAGATGTACTGTGATTTTTGCTGTCTGAAACTAAATTCTCAGATCCTAAAAGATTTCTTTTGTAAGACAAAAGGCCACTTAGTGTGACATTCTCACTGATTTGCAATGAATATTAGTCAGAATTTTTTATTGGGCCACATTATCAAAGATCAAGAAACTGTTTGTTTTGAAACAAATGAAGTTTCTAGGTTGACAAACTACAGTAGTCAACATTTGATGTGGATCAAAACCTTTCATCAAAGTTATACATGAATTTTGAGCAATACCTGTTCTTGTCTTAGGGATAACTTTGACGAACTTTTTTGATCCACTTCAAATGTTGACTACTATATATTGAGTTAGAGGAACTTATCTGTAACAAACTATTTTTTTTTATTACTCAAAAAAATGAAGTCGCTCCAACTACTTAAGTTATACCTACCCTACCATTTAATCTAAACTATTTCAGTTAAATTCCACATCTATCCATTTTCCCACTGTTTTTCCTGTTTCTATTAGCTATTCGATTTGCTTAGTCATTTAGCTTCTCCTTTTAGCCTCTCCATTTAGCTTTTCCATGACACTTTGGGCCTTGTGCTGTTAAAACGAGGTAAACCGATGCAAATTGGCTGAAGTGGGATGGATTTAACTAGCTCTCTGATTGGCTATCTCCTGGCTTGTCATGTGCAGATGTGTAGATTGCTTACCTGGCGCTCTGTTAACGTTAAATGCGGCATCCCATCACTGTTATGAGGCCGGTGCATGGGCTATATATATTCAAAAAGCCATAAGGGTCAGAATTCGTCTGTATTGTTTTGCTGGGTCCGAAAACCAGTCAGTATCTGGTGTGACCACCATTTGCCCCACACAGTGCAATACATCTCCTTCGCATAGAGTTGAGCAGGTTGTTGATTGCGGCCTGTGGAATGTTGGTCCACTCCTCTTCAATGGCTGTGCGAAGTTGCTGGATATTGGCAGGAACTGGAACACGCTGTCGTATACGTCTATCCAGAGCATCCCAAACATGCTCAATGGGTGACATGTCCGGTGAGTATGCTGGCCATGCAAGAACTGGGATGTTTTCAGCTTCCAGTAATTGTGTACAGATCCTTGCAACACAACATGGGGCCGTGCATTATCATGCTGCAACATGAGGTGATGGTCGTGGATGAATGGCACAACAATGGGCCTCAGGATCTCATCACAGTATCTCTGTGCATTCAAAATGCCATCAATAAAATGCACCTGTGTTCGTTGTCCATAACATACGCCTGCCCATTTCATCCGTGAAGAGAACACCTCTCCAAAGTGCCAGACGCCATCGAATGTGAGCACATTTTAGAGTAGCCTTTTATTGTGGCCAGCCTAAGGCACACCTGTGAAATAATCATGCTGTCTAATCAGCATCTTGATATGCCGCACCTGTGAGGTGGATGAATTATCTCGGCAAAGGAGAAGTGCTCACTAACACAGATTTAGACAGATTTGTGAACAATATTTGAGAGAAATGGGCCTTTTGTGTACATTAGAAAAAGTCTTAGATCTTTGAGTTCAGCTCATGAAAAATGGGGGCGAAAGTGTTGCGTTTATATTGTTCAGTGTACAGTAGCAGGGTTCCCGCGGATCCTTAAAAAGTCTTAAAAAGTCTTAAATTAGATTTTTAAAATTTAAGGCCATAAAAAGTCTTATAAAGTCTTATTTTTACTTATGAAAGGTCTTAAATTTTAGATGACACTTTGACTTAGACATATCTAAAAGCTTTCCAAATTAAAACCATCTAATTAGCGTATGTATTTTTATTTATTTATTATTCTATCTTTGTGGATTTGCTAGTTCACGTGACATTTCGCGTCACTCGCGAGTCGCGGCAGCATAACTGTCTCCTGCACGCGAGAGGAGAGAAGGAGAAGAAAGGTCGTAAATGTCAGTTCAGTTGTAAGTTCATTCTTTATGTGCGTATGGTGTGCGATGTGTATTGTCTTTTATGATATTGTAATCATTGTTTTAACAATGTACGAGGCACTGCGAGCTGACATCGCATTTGTCTCTCGTGCTTTCACTGCGTGATGTGTGCAGTGTAACTGTTATGTCCCCAAGTTAGTTTTTGTCTTATATTTATATCATATTATGTTCTTATATTAGAATATCACATCAGAAAGAGTGCCGTTTTCCCGTGCACAATTCCAATTGTGATATTTATGCTATACAACAGTTAAATTAACAATAAGTTAACATTGAGTTACTTTTTAGACACAACATTGTCAATATTGTTTGTTTTCCCTTTATTTCGCCGACTATAATTTCAAAATGAAACCGTAGCAGAGTCTCAATGCAACCGACAGCGATTATTTCTTGACTGAAATCCGCGTTTTGAACGAATCACTTGCTTCTTTCCCGAATGAATCAGCCATTTGAACGAATCGGTTGAATGAATGACTCCCTCAACTCACTTATTAAGACAGTGATTTGCCGCTGCGGTTTCATATTTAAAGTACCCTTTAAATAAAATGTTAAAATTAGAAATCATTTCATATTTAAATATTGAATATTGATTTAAAAATATATATCTCATAGCTTTATTTATGCAGTTGTAAATGGAGTGTAAATAAATTAATGCCACTTCTGATGCCGCTTCTGTCACCTCTGCACTGCAAAGATGGATTTTGATTGAATGATTTAATTTGACTGGTAACAGTGGTACTGTATGATTATTATATAATTAAGTATTATTGTATAATTACTGTATAATTTAATTTGAATGATAGTATTTGACATTAAAGGTGATGCATAACTCTAAATAAGTTTAGAAAAAATGTCCATATATAGGTGAAAATGCCCCTGAAAAAATCAATTTAAGGTGGCAAATATTGCCCCTTAATTAAAATATTAATTTCTGTCACTGCTGTGAACTGACCACTGCATAGAATATGAAAAATATGAATATCTTCGTGAGTCAGCTGTCAACAACAGACCTAAACCAGCCATGGCACCAGCACAAAAAATCAGTAAAATAACATCTAATTATTATCAACAAAATGTTGAAAATATCAATATATATTTTTGTCAATATTGCACAGCCCTAATGTACGGTATTAATTTTGATTTCTTCAGGTCTTAAAAAGGTCTTAAAAAGCCTTAAATTTGACTTTCAAAAGTGTGCAGGAACCCTGAGTAGTTACCAAACAAAGAAGTGCATAAAAATAACCCAGTGGGCCCAAGAAGTGAGGACTTTGTTTTAATAGTGTATTTTTATTAAGTCACCACAGCAAAGTATTTCCAAATTAAGAAAAATAGCCTACCACCACATGATCTAAAAGTAGAATGCTAGAATAAATATGTAACGTGAATGCATAAAGGGTGAATATGCTATGATTCAATTATTAAATATTATAGCTAATTTGCGTTGTTTTATGGAATACAAATGGGTAACGGAATTGCCCTTTTAAATGTCTGATTGAAACCTATGTTTGTAATTCAATTTGTGAATCCAATTACTTGCTTCTCTCTTTTAAAATGGATTTTCAACTGCAATTCCATTATTTTCTAATGAATTCATTAATGCATTTTTAAATGATTTAGCGTTTTATGATGTTTTTGTAAATCCCTACTTTAAAGGCACATACTTACACAGTATGTAAGTTTTACAGCTAGAGGTCGCTTATTCAAAACAATAGCAAAGGCGTAGCTTGATGACGCCGTGAATGAGCGTGGAATCATGGGAGTTGTCATCTTCACCTCCATAGCCGATGGAAAGCAATCCGACGGGACTCAGGCAGAAATCATGTTCATGGATGAGCTAAAGTATTTGTAGTTGTATTAACGTTACTGTGGTATGAAGAATGGTGGGGCCTGAGAGCCTGCACTCTTAAGAAAAATGGTTCTAAACAGTACCAAATTAGGGTTCTTCAGCATGTAACAATAGCAGAACCCTTTTATAAGGTTCCATAAAGAACCATGCTTTGAAAGTGCTATAGGACCTTAATGGTGTTATAAATAACCTTTTCAACAATATTTATTTTCATTAATATTAGTATATTATATTAGTAAATTCATATTATTAATATTACTATGATTAATATTATTGTTTTATAAATTATTTATTAATATTGTTTTTTTTTAGCCCTCTATCTGCCTGGTCTTTTATTTAGTTGCCTCTATTTGGGTCTAACATTTTTTTTAAAACAGCATGGTGTTAATTAGGTACTTTTTTTTTTTTTTTTTTTTTGACATGGCAGATTGTGGCAAAAATGACTGCTTTTACAACAGAGGTTAGCTGAATACATTAATAAATAACAATTGACATTGAACACGATTTAGATGTAATGAAGACCAAGTTCCAGTGAAATATCTTCACAATTTTTTCACAAGTCTTTACGTCCTTCATGTGTGTATTCTGAGTGGGCAGTTTCTCTCTGCAGATGATGAGGTTATGGTACGTGACGGCATCTGAAATAAACAATTGAGTTTAGAGTTACATTGTGTCTCTTCCATTTGTTCATGAAGGCCAAAATTAGCAAAAACGGACAGAATGAGCCCTTTACCATGTTAAAAGGAAAAAGTGATAAAGTCATGGTATAGCTTTTATTTTATTTTTGTGACTGGGTACGTTTAGGCGTAAAGTCATAATAATAAAAAAAATCAAACAATATGCATCATAAATTCCATATCTCTGTTACTTACTTTGTGGAGAAGAGAAGATGAGTATCCTTTAACTGAACAGAGCTGCTCACACTAGCATGTTCTGTTAAATTAAAAAGAGAAATAGACATGATTGTTAGGAAATGATTGTTACAATTTTTTGGGCCCGAGCACCGATGGTGAGAGGACCCTATTGGAATTGCTCCGTTTATTATTATTTAAAGTTATAACTTAGACATTTTAAGAAATAAATCATTTACCTGTTGAGTCTGTGGTAACAGTAGTTGTATAGCTGAGCTCCAGAAAATCAGTAATGAGGAGGCTTTGACAGTTACAGATTTGAAAAACAAAAAGTTGGGAATAAAGAACCCTAAACTCTAAAGGGGGTCGCACACCGGACGAGAAGCACAGCGCTGATGTTATCGGATTTTCAGGTGATATTCTCAATTCATTCAGTTAACGGATGCTCTGAGGTAAAGTGTTCAGACTGCAGACTGAGAAACGATTGTATTTAATTGTACAGTACAATCATAACATAGTATAGATATTATCTTAATTCCATAATGTCCTTAAACATAAAAAAATTGCTGGCCATAAACTGAGAAATCCGGTGTGCGATACCTCGAGTTGTCCTAGACGCGGCGTAAGGAAGATATGACGTCATTGACAGGCAACACAATGACAACGTTACGGTTAAAATTGCTGATTTCTCTATTTAAACTTAATTGGAAACGTTCGGGATAATTTAAGTACACAAGTCAACAAAATGTATAACAATATTCTAGTGGTTTTTGGATATTTAAATTCAATAATTGTACATATTGCGCCTTTTAATTTGAACCATTTATTGATGGATTAACATTTCATTTATAAATTATTTTTATAATTACTCTGTTGCCTATTAAATATGATTTACTATGCAATTTGCCTATTTATAGATTCATTTGTAAACAAATTTATTAATGCCTGTTTTTATTGTACAATTAGTTTATTAATGAAATGCTTTATTACTATTTCCAAGACACGTGTGGCCCTCCATACTGATCTAGTCCTCTGTAAAGCATACTGGGAACTAGAAATCCATGACCCAATTTATCTAGACAATTTCATGATGTTACTACAACTTAAATTTGAGTTTAAATTACACACTATATTAAGTTAATGATCAACATTATTATGTTGACTGAACTAAAAATAATGTTTTCAACTTAAGGCAGTACCTTTTACAGTGTAAACCTTTTTTGTGCAGTCATCTTGGATGTTTAAGTCATTTAAAACTTAAATCACATTAAACTGACTAAAACAAAATGAGTCTTGTATATCTTGTATTACTTATAAAAAAAGTAGAAAATTGCTTAAAGCTCCAGTCCGTAACTTTTTTAAGTTAAAAATAATCCAAAATAATTATATTTAAAAAAAACTTATTCTGCCAGTGGTCAAAACTATCTGCTTGCCATAGCTAGATTCAAAACGGTTAGCTTGTAATAATGATTTTAATTCCAGTGGTACTGGTGGGTTTCCGCGGGAAATTCAAGCATGTCTTTGCGTCATGATGTCACACCCGTACACATAAAGAAGGAGTTTCGGCTCCTTCGGCTATACTGCGCGTGACGAGGTGTTTAGATGTATAGGCTTTTCTCGCAGCACTTTACATGATTAAACTTATGGCATCCAAAAAGATCCAAACAACAATCATCAGTGTCAACTGGAGATTCAGCAGTTATAAAACCCAAAAGACTTCGTACTTCGGATTTAAGGTGGCTAGAGAAAGAGAAAGAAACCGTCTCATGCGAACACAAGGATTAAACATCGGCGGGGCTTTTGAAAAGTGCGTGAACTCCGTGTTTTGAAGGGGTTCAAAACGGAAAAAGAGACGGCTTTTTTCTGTTGAACAAGTAAGACATTTCAATAGTTCAATCGTGTAACAGTACGTTTTCTTAATTCACACAGTTATGGAGTTTCCTTTGTTGTGCCTTTCTCGTTTTGCTATTATGGAGAATATGAATTCTGAACTACACAGGTAACCATAAAACACATTAAATTTAACATTAGTCACGCTATGCTGATGTGATGTTGTTAACATGAATTTGAGAACAAAGTAGGCTATAATTTGCACGGTTGCTGTAAATCGCGTTGATTAAATCTAACGAAGCTTATCATGTCGAATGCTTTTTCCCCCTTAGTTGGTCAGAACAAAAATGGATGTTACTTACTTGTTCAGAAGACATTTTCTTATGAAAATTCTTATGTTGGTCAAACTTTCAAAAAGTGAATCTGTGATTCTGTATGACAGTAGGCTATCCACACAGCGCGGTGACTGACAGCAGCACTCGCCTCAAAGCACTGTGTTCATCCGCGCTGTTTCATGCCGATTTACAACCCACGTAAAGATGATAATTCCGCGAATCACTGCAGTTACAGATTTCGAACAGACAGATGGCGACAAAGAGGAAAAGTTACGGACTGGAGCTTTAACTTATTTTGATGAGTTAAAGCAATGTAAAAACATATGTTGTCATACTCATAACTTATTGATCATATTTTTTTTTTTACAGTTAACTTAAATCACTAAATTAGAATTTTAAACTTGCAACCATGCATTTATTTAGGTTGTGATAACAGGTCCCCTGAATGTGCAAAAATATACAGTACATGTGCAAAAATATAGTCATGAAAGACTGATGCCTGTTCTGTGCATGCTGTTTTTCTCCATATGTGACCTCTGCTTGCCACAACATCAGTTGCAGTTGTTCGTATGTATCTATTGTACACGATGGAGTTTGTGTGTGTCACTAAGGGTCACTGTCACCATTACTCAACTGAACGTCACCTCCCATTTGGCTGGTTACTGGAAAAGTCTACTGACATCCCAAGGGAGTGATTCTTTAAACACTGATTACAGCATTTCAGCAGACTCACTCCACACACACACACACACATCCAGAGCGAGTGAGGTCAGTAACAAGGTTGTGGCCCAGGAGTAACACTTCAAATGGATCTGGGGAACAAGCCCATCTCTCTGTGTCTTTCTCCTTGCTTAGAGAAACGGCAACGTGTCTCTGTGCCTCATTTAGTCTGCATCTGTGCTGCTATAAATCTCTAAATCTCTTAAACATACACACACACTCTCCACCTGCTACCTGCCACAAGGGAGACAGTTATACTCCAATTATTCATAATATACGCATTCATGTCTGTATGACCAATGCATGTATTCATGGAAGTTATAGACGCTCATTTTCTCTTGCTCTCTGGTTTTTCTTTCTCTCTTACTATCTCTCTTGTCTTTTTCTTCAGTTGACAGAGGAACTTCAAGGAAGAAGTGCAAGTAATGAGATCAGAGAGCTTGTCAAGCTACTGTCTAAACCACATGTAAAGGTAAGAGAGTAAACAAATAAACACATTTTTGTTTGCACCATATGTCTTTAGATATAACACTTAATACTACCAATTAAAATGTTATAAAAACTATGAAATTACACAAATGGAGGATGGGAATTATATTTTAAAAGATTTTACAATTTACATTGTGTTTGCATAATATATATATATATATATATATATCAGGGTTTCCGTTGTCCGGTAATTACCGGACATTGGCCGGGAAAAAAATTAAATGTCCGCCAAAATTAAATCTCTCCGGTCAAATTGTCAGATTAAAATTGCGTAATAATCCCGCCCCCCTAACACAATATGAATTTGAGAATAAGCCTAAAATGTATAAAGCAAAAATACACCGACTTTTGGCTATGTTATAGGAACAGGCTCTACCGTTAGAAAGTTATTAAACAACATCGCATGCTGCATTTCAAATAAAGCGCACGCCGCTGTAATATAGACCTAAACAACAAACGATTGAGTGAGACGTTTCAAATATGGCCAGGTCCATTGATATTATAGATAAAGTTGATAAATTTATAAAGTTGACGATGCAGACTCGCCATCTTCGCAGTAGTGAACGCGCCTATAGAGAGAAGTGTGCACGCGCTGACGCCTCCGTGTCCTTATTAGCCTATATTGTCCACTATATTTGCTTCTTATTTATTAATCCAGTCAAATTTGTTGATGAAACATTGATTAAAATTAATATACTATTTATACAAAACGAAATTTTCAAGCAAAAATATTATTCGAAGATCGCTGGGTTGATTATTATTCGAAAATCGCACCCCTCCACCACATGCACGCACACATGCATTAGGCTACACCCCAGAGCATGTGAGCAAACCAGAGCGGTGTGACGCTTATTATAAGTTAAAAAAAAATATATATAAGTTTCATATTTATAAAAAATATAGGCTAATGTTATTATTTTTTTATTTCATCTATGTTGATTAGGCTATATGAAAAGGGAACCGCATGAGATGAGTAAGATAGGGTCATAAGATGACCAATAGGCCTATATATCGGAAAACATTTGGAATTGGTCAGACATGATTTTGACCAGTTATTTAGTTTTGTTTTATAGAAAGCCTTTCTTTAAAGTTTATTTCGTTTTGTATAAATTGTATCTTCATTTTAATCAATGTTTCATCAACAAATTTGCCTGGATTAATAAATAAGAATTTATTCATATGAAGTGTGCATTTCTCTCTCTAGGCACGTTCACTACTGCGAAGAAGATGTCGAGTCTGCATCGTCAACTTTATCAATTTATCAGCAATTTAAATGTTTCATGCATTATCATAACTTTCGCCGGTTCTTTGTGGCAAGCTTTATTTCAGGTGTTGCGTGATATCTCTGCGCCCAAGTAGCAGTGCTTCGCCTGTGCAGAGTCTCCGCAACGGCGATAGATTGAAACGGGCGTCCGAGTGAAGATTGCGCAACTCGCAATCTTGCAACTGATAGCAGCGGACACGAGCGCTCAGCTTGATTTAAAAAACAACTGATTTTAGCGCTAGATCTCTTATTTAATAGCGAACTAAATGAATGAGTTAACTGGAGATTTTTTATTTATTTGTGTTAGGTACATCCGTGCCTCAATGTTTCAAAAAGTGAATGTGTGTGAAACCATAGTAAAAAACAATTGGTGTTGATTGACGCCAATCAGACGTTTATGTTTTTTTCCGTCTATTTGAAAGTTAGGCTAATAATAACATGTTGCATTCTATAAGGCCTGATTATGTCATTTTTTAAGTTATGACATAATTTTATAATTAGTCAACTTGACTAATTAAGAGGCGATATTTGACCGGCATATCATCAAAATGTCCGTTTAACGAAACCTCTGCCGGTCACTTTGACCGGCACCATTTTTTTCTAGCGGAAACTCTGAGATATATATATATATATATATATATATATATACACTCACCGGCCACTTTATTAGGTACACCTGTCCAACTGCTCGTTAACACTTAATTTCTAAGCAGCCAATCACATGGCGGCAACTCAGTGCATTTAGGCATGTAGACATGGTCAAGACAATCTCCTGCAGTTCAAACCAAGCATCAGTATGGGGAAGAAAGTTGATTTGAGTGACTTTGAACGTGGCATGATTGTTGGTGCCAGAAGGGCTGGTCTGAGTATTTCAGAAACTGCTAATCTACTGGGATTTTCACGCACAACCATCTCTAGGGTTTACAGAGAATGGTCCGAAAAAGAAAAAACATCCAGTGAGCGGCAGTTCTGTGGGCGGAAATGCCTTGTTGATGCCAGAGGTCAGAGGAGAATGGCCAGACTGGTTCGAGCTGATAGAAGGGCAACAGTGACTGAAATAACCACTCGTTACAACCGAGGTATGCAGCAAAGCATTTGTGAAGCCACAACACGCACAACCTTGAGGCGGATGGGCTACAACAGCAGAAGACTCCACCGGGTACCACTCATCTCCACTACAAATAGGAAAAAGAGGCTACAATTTGCAAGAGCTCACCAAAATTGAACAGTTGAAGACTGGAAAAATGTTGCCTGGTCTGATGAGTCTCGATTTCTGTTGAGACATTCAGATGTTAGAGTCAGAATTTGGCGTAAACAGAATGAGAACATGGAACCATCATGCCTTGTTACCACTGTGCAGGCTGGTGGTGGTGGTGTAATGGTGTGGGGGATGTTTTCCTGGCACACTTTAGGCCCCTTAGTGCCAATTGGGCATCGTTTAAATGCCACGGCCTACCTGAGCATTGTTTCTGACCATGTCCATCCCTTTATGGCCACCATGTACCCATCCTCTGATGGCTACTTCCACCATGTCACAAAGCTCTAATCATTTCAAATTGGTTTCTTGAACATGACAATGAGTTCACTGTACTAAAATGGCCTCCACAGTCACCAGATCTCAACCCAATAGAGCATCTTTGGGATGTGGTGGAACGGGAGATTCGCATCATGGATGTGCAGCCGACAAATCTGCGGCAACTGTGTGATGCCATCATGTCAATATGGACCAAACTCCCTGAGGAATGCTTCCAGCACCTTGTTGAATCTATGCCACGAAGAATTGAGGCAGTTCTGAAGGCAAAAGGGGGTCCAACCCGTTACTAGCATGGGGTACCTAATAAAGTGGCTGGTGAGTGTATATACACTACCGTTCAAAAGTTTGGGGTCAGTGAGAATTTTATTTTTATTTTTTGGAGGAAAGAAATCAATACTTTTATTTATCAAGGACAGTAAAGACATTTATAATGTTACAAAATATTCTATTTCAAACAAATGCTGTTCTTTTGAACTTCCTATTCATCAAAGAATCCTAAAAAAAAACAAAAAAAAACTGTACAACTGACAGACCAACAACTGTTTCAACATTGATAATAATAATAAATGTTTCTTGAGCATCAAATCCTCATATTATACTGATTTGTGAAGGATCATTTGACACTGAAGACACTGACACTGGTGATGCTGAAAATTCAGCTTTGATCACAGGAATAAATTACACTTTACTATATATTCACACAGAAAACAGCTGATTTACACTGGAATAATATTTAATACTATAACTGATTTTTGTTGTATTTTTAATCAAATAAGCGCAGCCATTGTTAGCAGAAGAGAATTATTTTAAAAGTATTTAAAATCGTACCGACCCCAAACTTTTGAACGGTAGTGTATATATACACATACATACATAGTTAAATTATGATAATTTAATGTATAATAAATGTTAATATAAAATTAATTCCTAAACTTTTGATTATTTTATAAGGAATTTAAAGGGGTCATATAATGGTACATGCACTTTTTCAAGTTGATTGTACTGAAATGTGTGTTGGCAGTGCCTGTACACAACCATCATATGATAAAAATCCATCCAGTGTTTTTTTTTTTAATCTACTTATGTTTTTCCCTGTCTCAAATCGAGCCGTTCGACCGTGTGACGTCACACGGTCGGACGCCCCCCCACAATTGTTGATTGACAGCAGCGTTTCAATACAGACCCGCCCTGAGCGAACTGTCATCATAGTCCGCCATTGTTGATACGCTGGAGCAGAATGGTGTCTAAGCGATTGTGGTGTTCTGTTCTTGGGTGCAATAACGAACACAGCAGTCATTTTGATGTTCCTAAATCTGAACTGCTGAAGACGCAGTGGCTGAGTTTTGTTTTCGGAGGGATTATTCCCCATGAGCAACGTCAATGCTTTCATGTTTGCGCGAATCATTTCTCACCAGACTGCTTTATAAACGAGGATCAGTATAAGCTGGTTTTGCTAAGAAGCTGCTCCTGAAAAAGAATCGGTACCAACTATTCATGTGTCCCTGCTGCACCTCCAGAAGAAGTGAGTGTAAAGTTGTATTAACCTTTATATTAATCTTTGCAAATCGCTTGCACGCTTCACGATGAATGCGGCTAAGGTTTACACTCAGGGTACATTACGGCATGTTTTCTATGTACGACGTTCTCAATATAATTCATAATCCCACGTTTATAATGAACAACGCGTTATGGTTATTGTGTTATTACAAACTGTGTTACGTATACATCAGTAAACACATAGCGTTCGTATCTCACTACTCTACCCTGCCAGTACATACAAAGATAGATCAAAGTGACATTACGTTAACCTGCCATTCAGAAACGTCCTATTCGAGCCTTAATTGTCGAACTTCTTCGGGGCCGTCATCTTGTTCCGGGTCCGAGTCCGGTTCAAACTGATACGATTGCACAGATGTGTCCTCAGAGACCCCGCTGCCATTCTCTCTCCAAAATATACCCTCAACTGTTGTCAAGGAAACACTCCACGTGTGTTGTGTCAAAACCATAGACAGTAAAAGAAATGGACACAGCGACCCCATAGACTTCAACGGAGAAAAGTGAAGTCAATTAGAAGCACTCACTTCCTGATGGCCGAGCGTACTGCGCAGGCTCAAACTGAGCTTGACGACGTAGATGTGACGTGAGCAACCTGTCTGGCAGTTGTCCGTCTTCTAGTAGCTGTGCC